CTTTCCGTCCAAGATTTGGCCCAGATAGAGGGTCACGGTCCATAGTCGCTGAATGGATCAGTGTGAAAGGCTTAGATCTTCGGCTGATTATACCTAACCCCACACAGGTCTATGTGAGGCCGCAGCGACCTTGGTGAACTGGTTAACCTAATGTCATCTCACTTTGTCAGACTTCAGTAGTTCAATGGAGACCGTGTAATAAATCTAAGCGTATATCATCGGTAAGCACACCAACAGGAAGCCTCGTATGAGTTATCTACTGTATGTGAGGGAGCACCAACAGTTCAGTTCTGGTGCCCTTATTATAGAATGGATATCAATTCACTGAAGTCGGTGCAACGAAGAATGACGAAAATAATTCTGGGACTTAGAAACCTTCCATATCAAGATAGATTACAGAAACTAAATTTGCATTCACTAGAAAGACGAAGAGTGCGGGGAGATAATATAGAAGTATTTAAGTGGGTGAAAGGAATCAATAAAGGAGATATAGATAAAGTTCTTATAATATCCGAGCAGGATAGGACTCGTAGCAGCGGATTTAAGTTGGATAAGTTTAGGTTTAGGAGGGAGATAGGAAGGAACTGGTTCACAAATAGGTTGGTAGACGAGTGGAACAAGCTTAGCAACTTTGTAGTAAGTGCTGGAACACTGGAAAGTTTTAAGAGGAGGCTGGATAGATTCATGGATGAAAGAGAGTGGTAGTAACTCTCGACAGGAGCTGCCATGTATAGGCCAACCGGCCTATTGCACACTCCTTATTTTCTTATGGTCTTGTGTTGTTATGGGACAGGGAGTAAAGGCCAGTCAAAAGAATCGTGCTTTCAACTCTTCATTATTGTGTAACTTGTCGTAACTTATCCCAGAAAGGAACTTCGTTGTTAGTGAATTTCCTGTGTACAGCGAAATTATTATTTGTCTTTTTATTTTCCATAACATTTTGTTGTTCATACAGTGCATAAATAACAAAAAAGTTTGAATAATTAATCTGAGTGTCACTTGCCATTCGTTTTCAATCTTGACTCTTTAAAACAAAGTGAGGACCCATATTATAGTCCACCTGTTCCTACTGTAACATAGTTGGGTCACTCTCCTCTGTACATACACATTAATCTCACCTTTACATACTAGGCACACTATGAACTTCTAGCTAAACCAAGGGTTAACTATAAAAGGCAAGCAGACAGAGCTGGTTGGCTATTGGAGGAAAAACATTACCCGATGTTGTGAGCGCCATCTAGGGTAGGTTAAATCTACCTTAACGCTGGGCTCGTTCTCCCCTGCCGAACACTGTTGTGTGTTGGTGAACATACTGTGGGACTACACCCTACCAGCGTGCTATCTAGATCTACCGGCCAACTTGATTTGTATAGAGTATCAGTGCAGCTGAGTATTAATTTTCACCCTTATACGAATTTTATTATTTTGATGATTGATAACTGTTTGCTAGTGGTAATGACCATGCGAATAAGCACAAGTCGATCAATGATTCCCAATATGGCTTCACAAGTGGGCATTCATGTCTAACAAATCTACTAACATCTTTTCAACTGTTTTCAAATCAGTACATGACGGACACGATTATGATGTGGTATACCTCGACTTTAGCAAAACCTTCGACAGATTCCCCCATGAAAGACTAATACGAAAAGTGGAGGCTCATGAAATTGGAGGAGATATTCTAAAATGGATTAGGGCGTGGTTACAGGACAGGAAACAGCAAGTAAGCATTAATGGCACTAATTCGGATTGGGGTGACGTCACTAGTGGAGTACCCCAAGGCTCAGTACTTGGACCATTACTGTTTATTACATACATAAACGACATAGACCGCAACATAAGTAAATTTGCTGACGACATTAAAATAAGCCATGTAATTAAATCTGACATGGACTCCGCAAAACTACAGGAAGACCTAAACAATTTTTTGCATGGTCTGAAAAATGGCAGATGAAATTTAATGTGGAAAAATAGAAAAGTACTAAGTATAGATGTAAACAGAGAAACCAGATATCAGATGAACAACGTTATTATAGAGAAATCCGACTGTGAGAAAGATTTAGTAAGAATCTTATGCCAAGACAACAATGTGTGTTTGCTCGAAACTATGCTAATAAAGTACTAGGGTTCACACAAAGGAGTGTTATTTACAAGACTAGTGTGGTTATCCTAAAACTATATCTTGCGCTTGTGAGACCTCACTTGGATTATGCGGTTCAGTTCTGGTCACCGTATTACAGAATGGATAGAGAATCCCGAGATAGAATTTAGAGGAGAATGACAAACTAATCCAAGGCATTAGGAACTTTGAGTACATATATAGGTAAAGCATTTAAATTTGCACTCCTTCGGGAGAAGTAGAGTGAGGAGCGATATGATAGAGGTGTATAAATGGAACTCGGGGCTAAACAAAGGTGATATAATAAAAGTACTCAAACTATCCAACCAGGAGCGAACTCGCAATAATGGTTTTAAATTAGACAAATTTAGATTTAGGCGCGAGATAGGTAAACACTGGTTTGGAAATAGAATGGTGGATGAGTGGAACAAGTTACCAAACATCATCATTAACTAGAACACGCTGGATTGAGAAATGATCGATAGGGGTTGGGTGTAAACGGGACTGCCCGGTATGGGCCAATAGGCCCTCTGTACTTCCCTTCATTCTTATGTTCTGGTGTTCTTGTGCTGTATTTATAATATTATATACAAACGATTGCATATTTTTCGTTTACTACTATTTATACTGTTTTCAATGTTGTCATGTCAACTGTGTTAGTGTTGTTAGATATTCAATTAAAACACCTAAGGAAATGGTGACTAAACCTACACTGAAATTTAATAATTGCCAGAGATGAAAATACAAGCAGATTGGCTTTTGTTATATAATTGTGCATGAGTATTACAAGGTATTACAACTAAATAATTTCCCTCAAAATCCCCCAGGACACAAACTGGCCAAGAACACTTTTAAAGCTTTGGGGGTTCAAGTAAAATAAGAATAAGAGTAAAGAAACTTTGACATTAGCTTGTCTATTGCTTATTTTTCCGAAACATTACACACCTGGTGAGATCATATGGGGGATCCCACGGTGTTCCTTTATTAGAGGTAGTTCTTACAACGTCTATCGTGTCGGAAATTAGAAAATTAAGTTTAAAGTGACAGATATCGGTCACTGAAAAATTTATACGGTATTTCCACCCCCAGTCTGTTTTGTTCCCCAAAAACTTGTATTTTGAATTTTAATACAATGTAATATGAATCACAGATTGGATGCTGTTTTACAACTTTTTTCTTGACTAATTATTGCGTCGCCAGCCCGCTTTGGTTTCAGAGAAAATGAGGTTAAACTTTGTGAGCCACATCCTTTTACAGTTTTCTCACGGCACATACTGTGTAGATGACTTTAGCTCACCCTGTAAACTGCTGTAGACAAGTCGGGTTTTTCGTGATATGCTGGATATTAAAAGTAATAAATCAACAGATAATCTATAAAATAAGCGAACATAATAGCTAGATTTAATGAGCTTCTCTAAGGTGGAGGTAATGGGTGGACCCTTACTAATGGATCATCAGAAGAATCAGCACCGCCCTCCTCTCACCCCGTCATCTTGATGGTTACGTCTTAATAATCTGCCATTACAATATTAATTATTTGCGACAGATACACTATACTATAAGTGCAATGAATGACTTTATTTTTATCATTCACTGAATTTTCGTTGAGAGTGCAAGCTGATTTTCCTTGAACATTCATATTTTTTAACTATTGATAATAATAGACGCATAAGTGAAGTCTACTGTATGCCCGCCCGTCATAGTTCTCTACGTATATTCTTCCTAAATCAGTATTTTTTTTAAAAACAATTCCTTTAAAACATTAATTTTTAATGTCGCTATACTGGCTTAACACAACACATTTATGGAAGGCGTCTAGCTTCTGACTACGGCATGGTCCTCTCCATATCAACCAAAGTGTACTGAAGTTAAGAGTAAATGACGACAATGTTTAGGTAGGGTAAATTTATTTGAAAATAAAAAAAATTATGCATTTTGCTCCGGTAATCATCTACTGAACGATTCTGATTTTAAGGAAATCCATGCCGGGTTTATCACCTAGCTTTGCCTCAGTGAAAACTAATGTAGACCCTCTCTTATTGACAGTTGAGCTATATTTTTTAAGAAAAAAAGTCTTTTATATGGTTATTAACTCTTTCATCAAGCGTCAGAAAGATGTGACTGAACTAACTGCTGAGAACTCACACGTGATATTTAGTTGACTTTATACTGGCTTGCCCTCACTTAAGACAAGGATCACGACAATAAAAAAGAAACGAAAAAAATTCCAACAAAAACTACAAATGCAGCAGTTATATACATTTAGCTCAAGGATGTAAGATTTCATTACTGTCTTATGAAAGAACTAAAGTCTAGCGAGAAACACACTAACACACTGATGATACAAATACTCGTAGAAGGTATGTGTGAGCAGCCAATGATTAGTGTTCCATTACTGTAACTATGGCCATGGTAACTATTTGGATACTTTAGTTAAATTTATAATTCCTTTAATAAATTTTGATGACTCTTAATCGTAGAAAAAACCCAGTTGTGACAGAATTATTAATATCATTTGTTTAAATTGTGGGCAGCAAGAGTAACCAGCGGTATTAGTTCAGCATCTCGAGTGACTGTTTATTGGAATGTGTTGGGCTGCACATCATTCACTTCAGCAGAGATGCAAACCATCGTATGTCTCTGATGTAAAATCCTTATTCCAAGTTTTATTTCATATCAATGTGTGTGATGTAACAGAGACTAATCCTTCAATTACCTCTTGTTACATATAGCTGACGTAAAATTTGCCTTTGAGAAGAAATTATCATATTGAAAAAAAAGACAACCCAAAATTTAACTTAAAATTAGATTTCCCTCCTAATCTTGGCAACAACCTAAATAAAGTACATAACACGTGTAGACGATTGTTTATGTATCTTACCTTCGTCTGGTCGGGGTGTCATGGCTCTCCATCTCTTTGGCTTTCTCCATGACACTCTCGATGATGGCCCGCTCCTCCTCGCTCAGCTGGCTCAGGTCAACGTCAGGAGGAGCACCTGAGGTAAACACACCATAATCAGCGCTCAAGATGTAATTATTATCCTATCCCCAATATATATTCACTTGTATATTCCTAGAGTACAGTACCCTCTATAGAGGCGCTGATCCCTCCTAGTTCCTCCTATTCAGTGCATCAATTTTTGTAAATGAATTAAAGCTTTTTATTTCTTGTATTAAAATATATCGTTAAAAATTTGCTAAACTGAATAAAATACCGAAACTCACTTTGATCATTTCCAGTCACCATCTACTGCACGTACTGTACAGTACACACTAAGTAATGATACACTATAGACATATACAGTATAATACCCTAAACAGGGGTAAATCATCAGATGATGTCTTAGAAAGTAACTGACTTGTTTGGGCGAATAAAGATAACTTTTTGTTTTTACAGCGATAACAGAAACATAATACACACCTTTACCTTTAATTAAAGCCTCTTTCGTTACTCTATTGTGATTACTACTGAAAATCCAGAACTTTAAATGCGGGGAAGCGTTTGGTGTTAACAGCACCTTGTATAAGGATACTCCGCATACTGCACCCGCCTCCTACTGTGCACGCCATACCGGGTAAGACTGCAGTCTGACATGGAATGTTCTGCGCTTTGCGAGATAAGTGAAGTACAGTCACCCAAAAAAGTCCTGTCGCGAACCATGAACCCCGAGATTCAGACTCTTGAATCCGAAGCATTTATGGACAGAATAATGTATCTGTGTCTACTGCTTCGGATTCACGAGTCTGAATCGTGGTTCGAGTCAGGACTTTTTTGGGTGACTGTACAATAATGTACATCCTCTGTCCTTCATCAACAAGGAAGAAGTTGACTTGTCACATTTGAACAACATGTGACCGTCCATCTAGGTGGCGTTCATCGCCTTATGTTTTCTTTGGGTACAGTGAATGAAATGTATCATGTCGGCCAGTGGATTAGCAGAGCTTTGGGTCAGCATTCGCACAGCTGTCAGTTCCTCATACACTCTGTCCAGCAGCTGGCGACCAGCGTACTATTTCTTCAGAGCAACGATGTGTTTTATTAAATCATCATGATAGATTCCCTTGTCAAGAAAAGGAAAAAAATCAGACTTTACGCTCCCACACTTCAGTGTTGACTTGTCTGAGAGGAGGCGATTATCCAGTGAATCATCGGCATTGCTAGATGGGAGGACACCCAACGTACTAAAAAAGTATGGAACTCTGCCAAGTGTCGTACAATGAGTTCAGATTATATGTCTCTTGGATTTACAATGTCTAGTCTGGGGGATGAGGTTGTTCAGTTGAGCCCAAAGAGGTGTAAATACTTAGGTTCAAGGAATCAAGACAGGATGAAAATGAATCGTTACCTTCAACTACTAAGACTTGATTATGAAGTCTGCTCAAGAGAATTCTCTGACGTTCGTAGAAAACAGGTTGTCTGTCTGGAGGTATTTAGATGGCCGTGAGGACAAAGATATCCCTGAGCGTGTGATCCAGGAAAACTGGTTTGAGAACGACAAAGCCAAATATTACAACAATTTTCTTGTGTTAGCTGTTTGAAAGACCAAGGTACGGCTACAGGTCATAGCAGTACAGTGAAAGTACTGCACACTTTCCAGCTAGCGCAGGTCTGACTAGCTCACTGTGGGATGGGTTAACCATGACAAGACCCGCGCGATGGCGGTCACAGATATTGATTGATCTTTCTTGACCATTGATAAGTTGTCTATACAAGAGAGGTGCGCTCTCCAACCGTTGAGTAGGATGGGTACATGATGGTCCGAGTAATTGTGTAAACCTGGAAATATTTTACTAGCAGTAGATTGAGTTTCATCAAGTAAGGATTAGTGGTGACATGCGGCTTATTCGTCACGAAGATTCACAGCATCTACTTCTAGGCATGGATGAGTGGACAGACTGGACCTACAGTAACAGCAGCTGTGGTTGGACACCTGGCACGTAGAACTAGAGCTGAATATCGCACCACGTCCAGCCTAGACGGGTATGGAGTGCTAGTTCGAATCCATTTATCTGAATGAATCGACCCTCCGACTACCATAGTGTCTTTTCACAGCATTCATTGATAAAATGTTACAGCAAGCAAGGTCCAGTGCCCCCCACACAAAAAAAATAGTTTGGCTTGATCTTAGAAGAGTTGAAATAAAACAACATTTAAGGAAAGATAGGACTTGACAGTGGCAGGGACTGGGGAAACTGCTTGCATGATTCAGTGATATGTTCTACAAGGGTGGCTCGCTGTGCTTGCCCAGGTCGACGTTGAACATAGGATAAATCTAAAGTCGACCTCGCACTCCACAGTGTCCTGACCACAGCGTCTTTCAACTCAGCTGGAAGCAGAATCATACAATTACAGAAGATGAAGTGTATAAAACGGTGTCACAGGATTTCTACAATGCAGGCACATTGCCCTCGCGGTTTTGAAGGGATTCTGTGGTTAGTGACTTATTTCTGTCAAGTAAAGTTATTATTCACACCCACTACATTTTATCTCATACCCTTGTTCGAGGATCTTATGACCCTGGTCCAGGCTTTGTAACAAAAACATCCAGAACCGAGCACCAGAACTTCCTTGACGAAGCTGCATATACTGTAGAGTTTATAGTCCGTTTCCGAGGAATGAAATGCCGCTCAGGTCAACGACGGAAGTTCGTCCCACCCAACCTGCATGGCATGACGCAGGTGATTTGGTAATGGTATATGGGAAAGAGTTCACAGATATGCTTTAAATGGCTGATTAGTTAAGATTTTATGATCGGAGATTGCCTACGAATATATTTCTTGTATATAACTTAGTTAGTATCAACGTGTAAAATGTGGAAAAATAATGTTATTGCAGATCCTCCCCACCAACACGCATATTACTTCAATGATCCAACAACCATTGCGAGGGACACTACCGTTAGTGTCACTGCGAGCGATCATCCAGATTATACTTAAAATAGAAACTTCATTAGGCATTACTTTCAACTACAATATTGTCTGGTAAATATGATTTACAAACTTCTAACAGGGATGGTTAGAAGTAATTAACGGTTGCCCCTCTCTCTGAAAAGCCGCACTAGCAAATAAATGAATGACTAGAAAAGATTTGACTGTAAGAAACTAAATATATTACATACTTGCAAGAGGAAGTCTAGAAAACAAGTCTAGGGATCCAGCAACGATGTCAAAATTAATAACTCAAGATAGTCAGGTAGAAACAAAATAGAAATAGGTTGCCCTGGCTGGGATTTGAAATTCCGCCACGTAGGCGAATGATTAGAACAATATAAGTGGCGGTCAGGGCAGTTAACTCGTCTTCAACACACCACCCATACCTATTGCTCTGATTAGGTATCCACTCAGCCATGATGCTACCTGACAACTGCAATTACCTAACTTCTGAGTATACAATACACTGCAATCACATAATGCTATGCAAAAGCGTTACGTGTTTCCTTTTCCTCGATTGTAAAAGCGTTCCATTTCTCTTGTTTGAAACTATAGTATTTCTACACCTACCTGGCCCATAAGCCACGCCCCTCTTCTATGCTATAGTACGTTTTTTCTCAGCTGAGAAAGATGCCCGGCCCCCTCCTCAAGAGTTACAGCTGATTGGCTGTTGCAAACCTGTCCGATTTTTGTCCTGAAGTAATGATGTATTTCTAAATGAGTTTATCTATAATCGTTGGAATGACCGTTCCTGACGAGGAAGATATTTAGCTAAATTATATAAAGATACATTCATTTTTATTTCAAACATAAGCACGTAGGAATTTTATCAGAAGTATTATACATGAATTAACTGTTAAACTCTGGTAGCAAATTTACTCTTTCGTAGGATGCATTTAATAAATACTTATTTTTACCCACAATAAGGCATACTAAGACAAATTACGTATCAGTAATACTACATTATGCAAAAACAACATTTTTGAAGATCAGAATCACATTGTATTTATTTATTTATTTATTTGTTTATTTTAATTTTATTTTTTTCTATGGGCTAATTAACTAAATTCATGCTTAGGCGGAGAATTTTATTCAGTATCACCAAATTATTGCCATATGGAAAACCCCATTAACTATTTTCTTACCTAATTGTAAGTTGTTAACTAGGTAACCTCTTAAAACAGTTTGTGCCAAAATAAGAATCTTAAAGTAACTCCAATTAATCTCATTTGTTTACATTTATTTACAATCAATGGAAAACGCGACATGTGGGATCCTGAGTGGAACTGAAGAGTGAAACTTCTACAGACATAAAGCCATAAGAAGTGAGAGGGCAGGGCTATATCTTGGGTTACACTGTGTCATTATTTCTCAGGACTGTAAAAGAATAGAAGAGAAGAACTAAATAATTTTGACCAAATATCACGAATATCCTCAAATCTAAAGATTTTGTGAATTTATGTAGTTTTCTGGGGTGCTAATAAGCATAAAGTAATTAACCCTAAGAAATACAAAAGGAATTATGAAAAACTATTTAGAAATTGAAGATTTTAAAGATAGTTTGAGAAAGCTTTTTACAGATGACTTCCTTTGATGTTTTACTTTCAGTATACTTGCAGTGAAATATTTATCTTGTTCTGATCAGTAAAGAAGCCTTAGCAAGTGATTTACTGAAATAAACCATTATATTAACCTGTTTTCTAGGATAAATTAAACAGAAGAAATCTTAACCAATGATTTACCTGATTAAACAATTTAATTTATTTTTCAGACATAAATTAACAAATGAGCATTAAGTAGCAACTGGCTTAACCCCCATAGATATCTTTGAATGTTGTATTTTTTTTATAACTTGATATTTTGGTGCTGTTGTATTAAAACTGTTGTTCTGCAGAGTAAAAATAATATTATAATACTGTACTGTGATGCAAATCCACCATGAGTCCGTCTATACAGCACTGATGTTATTAACCACATCATACCATTTTTTTCCAGGAATTCATGAATGGTTTCTAGTTATTATAAGGTGTGACGTGAGTGATATATTTATGCATAATATGTCCGT